TCTCTACTGCCTCAATAAATTTGACATGAACATTTTCTACTGCGTTTACAAATTTCATATAAACCTTCTCTGCTGCGTCAACAAATTTTATATAAACCTTATCTGCTGCGTCAACAAATTTGCAATAAACCTTATAGGCAGCACCTAATGCATCTAATGCACTTAATGACACGAAAAGATGACGCTGATTTCACAATGGAGAAGATCTAGACGGACGCGGCGTCGGCCTCCTTCCAGCAAAACTTGACGATCTCGGCAGAGAAAGGATGAACCTTGACCGAGCAAAAAAAGAGTGGGCCGGAGAGGAGAAGCTCTGCGCAGACAATGCGGTGGTGGAGCTCACCGATGATATGATGCGAGTAACCGGCGGGCTGGTAAGACCAAACAATCCGCACGAGGAAGTAAGAAGAAGAAGACCGCCACCGGTGAACGGAGCAATAACGGAGCTCCGTTCAGAGGAGGGAAGAGGATCAGAAGAAGCCATAGGAGGTGAAGGCGAAGAGAGAGAAAGAGAGAGAGAGAGAGAGAGAAATTGCAGGCTGGCGTGAACTGTAAGGTAAGCAGAGGGAGAGTGGTTGATGCAAGAGGCCCAGCCTACCTGTGCTAACTAAGAAATTCCACTATAAAGAAAAAGTGGGGAGCGGCGAGATTCGAACCCGGGACACGAGGCTCTGATACCATGTAAAGAACCTTGGGATACACCACCCCAAAAGCTAGCTCAAAGGGTGTGAGTGTCCAAGGTCTTATAAACTCCATATTAGTTGCTCATACAACCAATGAGGGACTATATATCTCAACACGCCCCCTCACACAAGAGCCCATTGGGCTTGAAGAGTGGACAATGCAACAGGCTCAGCTTACCTGTGCTAAGAAATTCCACAAGAGAAAGTGGGAGGCGGCGAGATTTTGAACCCGGGACACGAGGCTCTGATACCATGTAAAGAACCTTGGGACACACCACCCCAAAAGCTAGCTCCTAAACACTTAGCCAGAGGAGGAGGAGGATCTTTAGCCGGAGGAGGAGGAGGAGACCTGTACCTCCTCCATAATATTGCTCCTATGTACCTCAACAACATCACTGCTCCCAAACACACCATGCCGACGACAACGAAGACACCCACTTTGTGGAGGGAAGTAGCCCATAAGTTTATGGCTGCATCCACAAATTTTAAATAAACATTCTCTACTACCTCAATAAATTTGACATAAACATTTTGTGCTGCGTTTACAAATTTCATATAAACCTTCTCTGTTGCGTCAACAAATTTTATATAAACCTTCTCTGCTGCGTCAACAAATTTGCAATAAACCTTATAGGCAGCACCTAATGCACTTAATGACACGAAAAGATGACGCTGATTTCGCAACGGAGAAGATCTCGACGGACGCGGTGTCGACCTCCTTCTAGCAAAACTTGACGATCTCGGCAGAGAAGGGATGAACCTCGACCGAGCAAAAAAAGAGTGAGCCGGAGAGGAGAAGCTCTGCGCAGACAATGCGGTGGTGGAGCTCACCGACGATATGATGCGAGTAACCGACGGCCTGGTAAGACCAAACAATCCGCACGAAAAAGTAAGAAGAAGAAGACCGCCACCGGTGAACGGAGCAATAACGGAGCTCCGTTCAGAGGAGGGAAGAGGATCAGAAGAAGCCATAGGAGGTGAAGGCGAAGAGAGAGAGAAAAAAATTGCAGGCTGGCGTGAACTGTAAGGTAAGCCGAGGGAGAGTGGATGATGCAACAGGCCCAGCCTACCTGTGGTAACAAAGAAATTCAACTACAAAGAGAAAGTGGGGGGCGGCGAGGTTTGAACCCGGGACACGAGGCTCTGATACCATGTAAAGAACCTTGGGATACATCACCCCAAAAGCTAGCTCAAAGGGTGGGAGTGCCCAAGACCTTATAAACTCCACATTAGTTGCTCATACAACCAATGTGGGACTATATATCTCAACACGCCCCCTCCCACAAAAGCCCATTGGGCTTGAAAGTGGACAATGCAACAGGCCCAGCTTACCTGTGCTAAGAAATTCCACAAGAGAAAGTGAGAGGCGGCGAGATTTTGAACCCGGGACACGAGGCTCTGATACCATGTAAAGAACCTTGGGATACACGAGGCTCTGACACACGCTAGATTTACTTTTTAAAAATAATAATAAAATTATGTCTAGTCTGACAGGCATATATGATTTTCTACTGCTGCTTGTTTCTGTAATTTGGATGCTATTGAAGATTGTGTCTCTGTTGTAATAGATTGATAGTAGCTGATGAATTAGATTACCTGATAACCAAAGACAGAGCTGTGCTCCATGATCTTTTCATGCTTACTACCTTCCCATTTTCCAGATGTATATTAGTAGGTAAATTTTCATAAAAATAAAATTGTTGTTTCTGACTTTGTTATTTTTCTTAAGTTCTTAACTAGTAATACAGTTTAGGTCATAGTTTTAAATAACGGGTAGCGGTCGACCCCAAAAACGATATAGCGGTATAGCGGTAAAGCCGCTACTGTGAAGTTCGTATAAATATTTATAATAAATTATACCACATATAAATGCTAAAAGATTAGAAATCTCCCAAAAGACTAGGAAAAGAAATCACCCATATAAATATATAAATGCAGTTTCGGATCTTCAAAGACCAAGAAAAGAAGAAGAGGGAAAGAAGATGACGTTAATAGAAGACCATATTTGCCTCTTTTCTTCTCAGCAAAAGACTAGGGGAAGACGATAAAAAAGACGAGGGAAAAAGATAATATTTCCCTCTCTTTTCGTCAGCAAAAAAAAAATGCAAGTAAATATATATATTTTTACATGCATTTATACTTTATTTTATCTTTGGTAATCTGCATTTATATTACTTCAAACTGGAAAATATTTTCACTATATCTTTTATTAAATTTAGTAAAAAGTAATATAATTAATTTTTTTATTTTATTCTCTTGATTATTGACACTTACATTCTAACATTTTTTTATTTTTAATAAAACAAACTCTTATTTAAAAATTATATGCTTTAAACTGATACTTAATATCATGTGAGTGAAATATGTGAAAATTTTATATCTTTTATACACTTTTTTAAATTATATATCACAACTAGTTTTTTTTTTCTAATTCTAATTTGAAATTTTTTTAGAAGTTTAAAAACAAACCCTTTTGTAATTTAATTTATATCCTTATTTAAATTATAAATTTACACGTTTTCAAAAAACTTTTTTTAAAAGACATAAAAAATTTAAAATAATTATTAAAATGGAGAAATTGAATATATATTATCAACAATGAAGAAAGAAAAAAAAACGTGCAGAGAGACTATTATCTGAAAAAGGAGATGTCAAGGAGTGTGGTCCCACCACAGCAGGGTAGCAGATGTGCATGTGACAGAGTGATGACTGATTTAAATTTAAACTTTTGTTTTGTTTTTAAAAAAATTTGACTTTTTAAGTTAAATATCTATTTTACCCTTCATTTATCCTGCCTTTTTTCCATTATACCCTTAAATGATAATCTAATTTAATAAACACAGCCACCATACTTTCAACGTTTCGTCTTCTCCATTGACGTCTGCAACTCCTCTTCCTTTCCCTATAGCTGCTCGATAACGCCGCAAGAGCTGTCGGCCGCCACCGTTCGCTACTGGAAACTATGGTGTCGCGGTGCGAAAGTTGGGCTGGGTGCCGCAACCCGCACCAGAACCGCTATCGCGCACTATAGTGCCGCTATTTCAATCATAGGTTTAGGTATGTACCAAAAAAAAAAAAAAGTAATACACTTTAGGCATTTCAGGACTTATTGTGCTTATTTTTTAATTTTTTCTCTCTCGTCAATCTCTCTTTCTCTCTCTCCTCTACCCCACCCAATCCCTTATGCGTCCGGACTGCCAAATTTCATCTCCCCCATAAAAATATTGGGAGAATAAATGAAGGCATGTCATCTGAATCTCCACCTCTTTAATTATAGTGTTATTAGGGTGATGAAATTTGATTCAAGGGAATTATATTTGTTGACATGAATCAATCAAAGTTAATCATATTTGAGTTAATTAGAAATAAGCAATCAAGTTGGCTTTAATTTTTAAATAAATAAATAAATAAATATATATATATATATATATATATATATATATACCAAAAAAAAAAACTGTTTATAAAGATTTCTCATTACTTTATTTTTCGTAAATATTCGCAAACCCTGTTCATGCATGCAAATCAAAATAACTCTTTTGTCAACAACCATGCTCATTTTAAAATTTTCCCTGACGGGGATATAGTGGATATTTAGATGATATGCCTTCGTTTATTCTCCCACTATTCTTACGGGGAGTTTTTTATCTTGGATTTTATTAATCACATATTAAAAGAAGACAAATTATCTTATGTCGTAGAGATAAATTTATAGGCTCCATCATCTGAAAAAAAAAGAAGATGACATAGTTATCGAAAGGTGTGTAGAAATTTTTTTTATCTCATATAACATGAGAATAATTTTCATTCTCTTGTTTTTTTATCTCATGTCCCAGTTATTGTTTTTTTCAATAAGGTCTTTTTCCATCTCTTGTTCTCATTCTCTTTCATGCTCTTTGATCATTGTATTATACTGGATTTGCATATTGCAGGTTACTTTTACTGAAGAACATATCTCATTCTTACATTTTCTTACTAATGTGTGTGCCATTGTTGGAGGTAAATATGGATCTTCCACTATTCCTCTTCATTCTTACATAATAGGCATCAGTAAGTTAATGAGACAAGTATCATTTCATTTGTGTGAATTTTTTTTTTATGTTATGTAACACGAGAATAATTTTTTTCTTTTATCTTATATTAAATAATTTGTCTCGTTTATTTTTTATTTTTTACATATAGGTTCTACTTGTTTTTTTGTGCATAGAATGAGACAAATGAGAAACTATATTTCAATTCTTTATATGAAAAAAGAAAAAGAAAATTATCCTTAGCTGTGTAGAAAAATTAAAATAAACAAAAAAACTGTAAAAGCTGATCCAAGAGATGCGAAATCGTTTGGCCATGGCGCGGGAAAATGAGATGAAAATGAGCGCGCCAACATCATCTTCCCGCTCAACAACAAAGCTTCTATGCTCATTTCCTTATTCATTTTTGACATTAACCATAAAAACACTTTTCTTTCTCTTTTTCTACTCTTTCTCGGTGACCAAACACCTGATTAGGGTTCGTTCTTCTTCTTTTGCACAAGCTCGGATTTAGGTTCGTTCTCATTCTTTTTTTGTATTTGTGATTGCACGATCTTGTATGCGTTCTGATTCCATAGAAGATATGATTGATTGATTGGTTTGCTTTTGCTCTGCACACTCTCTTTTTGCAAATCGTGATTGTCACTGCTCTATTTTGTACAAAATGTTTTTATTTTTTTATTTTATTGGTTTGAATTGGTCCATCGTGATGGATGGTCTGAGTCATGGATAGTGTGTGCCCACAAACTGCTTGATGTATGGTCTGAATCATCGAGAGTGTGTATGTGTGTGTGTGTTGATGCTGAGGTCTTTCGGTTACTGTGCTGTATTGCCTCCAATTCATTTCCAATGACCTGTGCATACATTTGGGATTGATCTGCAACTTGTGAAAATGCTTGAGTTGTGTGATTTATCCCTCTCCTCTTTTTTTTTTTTTTACTTGGTTATAACTTGCATTATGTTTGATGAAAGGTTTGGATGGTAAGACTTTGTTTGAGTGTACAGTTTTGTTATCCAATTAGGGAGTTTTCCTGTACTCCTGGATCTACACGGAAAAGTATGTGTGGCTTGAGCTGATCTATGCTAAGACATTTTGATTTATAATTCCTTATCCTTACTTGGGAATGGAAAGTGCTCTCTTTTAGGGTATGTTGTTTGTTTGTGAATGGAAAGCTGTAAATAACTTACTTCATGATGTTGTTTGAGATATTACCATAAAAGTTAAGTGAGTAAATCAGAATCTGGTTTTTCAAGTAGAAAATTATGTCTGTGTGATATTATGAGCTAGCAATGAACATGCTTGTTTATTTATATTTTCTGTCAAATTTTCCCCCTTTGTCTTAGATACTGAAGGGATGTTTCTCTATTTGTCTAATTTAAATATCAAAACAAGTGGGTGACAATCAACATAGCAGTCTACTTGGTGGAGTGTGTGTGTCACGACACTAGCCTAAGTATTTTATAAAACCAACTTTGGGGTTACATGAGAAGTAGAAAATATTGAATTTGGGGCTACACTAGAAGTAGAAAATAGTTTCTGTAAAAAAAAGATGCTTATCATAATGAATCAATATAAACATTTTTTTTGTTTTGATAAAGTATAATTTTGCACAAATTGTCCTTGCTTTGATTGAGGCATATTCATCTCTTTTTCCTCAATACTTGTCTAAGTGGTATGATATATTTTTGTATTCACAATTCTCGAAATGGACCTATCCACACCAATCCCTACGTAGAAACTAATTGCTAATGTTCCTGGATTGAGGAAATGGATTTACAATTTAGTAATTCTGTCAATTTTGGATCTTTTATAATGAGATAAGAGTGCATGTGTGAGAGACTGGGTCACTGTTTGATGGACTAAGATGTGCATGCGTATACAGTAACTAGCAAAGTTGTTTCTGTTCTTTTGGGCATATGCAGATACAACTTCTGCAGAAGTCTTGTTCTTTCTTTATGATCACCATCAGCTGCTGTTGTGCTTCTTGATTCTATGATCAATTTTCTTTTGCTTCTTGAATTTTTGTCAACAATTGGTTTGCCTCTGTGAACTCCTGCCAGTGAGAGTATGCAAATCTCTTATCCTTTTTCTTTCTAATTCATTTTAGTTGTATCATGTCGGAAAATGGAGATGATGTACGCTGCCAGCACCTGTTATAATATAAAAGCAATGATAAAATAAATAAATAAGAGAAAAAGCACGAAATTGTGCACCCTTTTGTTGACTAAAAGATATTTTGAGAAGGATTCACATCTTTTGATTGCCTCCACTTATTGTCTTGTTTTTACATATCTTGCATTTTTTGACATGCTGCCCCACTGCAATTGTGCAGCTTCCAGATTTACCAATTAGAATTTGCAAACTGCCTCAAACACACATATATATATATATATTGGCTTTGAATTCATTTTGGTTGAACACTGTGTGTGATATATAAACATTTTCTCAAGTTTTTCTAGATACCCAATTTTGTATATTATATTGTGAGGATTATTGGGTATATTGGGGTAGAGGTTTGAGTAGTTTACACCTTTGTACTCTATTTCGATTGATAGATGCTGGTCTACTTTGCCCGTGGAGTAGGTACTCTGACAAATCATGTAATGAATTGTGTCTTGTGTGTGTGCCATTTTATTTTTCTTCATACTTTTTCTATCTTATATTTAGCCCCAGATTAATATATTTATTTTCAGGTACTAAACATAACCTTTTATTGCTCCTATTTTCATTAATTATTGATTCTGCCTTTTGCTTCATCTTGAGTTTTGTTTCTTTTTTGCCCCCCAAATGGGTGAAATCTTGCATACATTTCAGTTGCATATTTGTTTATGCAAACACTACTTCCTTATAAAAATCAAATTTTGAAAAATCAGTATTTTGTATAGAATATTTGAGGAAAGTGTTAAGTGTTCATTTATTAGAACAATTTTGTATTGCATTAATCCAGTAAAGAGGTGAAAATGCATTATTCATGTGCTTTATGTGATTTCTAAAATTGTTCTGAAATGCCTATGGGTTGGCACTTGGCCTTAGCCCACAGGCTTTGTGGGCTTTTTGGCCCTATGGGCTTTTATCCATAGCTCAAGTAGGCTAGGGATGAGTGGGGTGGGCTGGTCCATATTGAAGCTCTAGCCCTAACCTTTTTCTCTCTTCTCTTATCAGTTCTCACCATCACCAATGCCAGCAATTGCAGCCAAGCGCAGATCAAGATCTCCTGCCCCTTCCCCTCCTGACCGTAAATTGCCCCGCCGATGCACTGCCACAGCTGTATTTCACAATACAATCTATTCCTATTTCTACAACATTCACTGTTGTTTCAATTCCCGAAATTTATTGATTTCTCGTTAATCATTTGCAGCGAAATAAAATTGGCATCGATGAAAACCAAGCTGAATTGCTGAAACCTGCAGCTTTGAAGCCCCAATGGAATCCCAAAGGTGAGACTCATTTCTTTCTTTGTTTTTTCTTTATTAGCTTCCTTTATTGTTTTTTACTTATGTGTAATGGAATCAGAACTTTCCCAGAAAGTGTGAGAAAATATTAGAGAAAGTGCAGGGATATAATAAAATGCTTCTGAATTGTTCATATTGAAAACTGAATAAATTGTTTGATTTACACAGCAATACATATGTTTATAGTTGGATAACTGTTAGCTGCATATGGCAACTAACTGAATCTCTTAGCTGTTACAACAGTTTGAGAGTGTTGTATCAGTAGAACAGTTTAACAGAACTGTCTAACAGTAAGAATTAGTTCAGACCAGTTCAATGCTGAGCCATCAATAGATTTTTTGTATGTATACAATCATGCATTGCTCTAGTAGTATGGTAGTTGATCTCTTATGTGGTGTGTTGAGAAATAGATGGTGAGCAATTGAGGATGGTGAAGGAGGCATTGCACTTGTCTACTGTACCATCTACAATTTGTTGCCGCGATGAGGAGCAAGATGTGGTTTTGAGGTTCTGCAAGCGGTGCATTGAGCATGAGAAGGCTGGGAGTCTGTATGTATGTGGGTGTCCCGGAACTGGGAAATCATTGTCTATGGAGAGGGTGAAAGAGCTTTTGATGAACTGGGCTACAGAGGTATACTCGACTTGTTGGTTTTGTGCTCTTTCTACTGTCTTTGACGCCGTAGTCTGGTCTCTGATGGTGTGTCTATGAGGGTCTGGAAACAATTCATTGTGATTGTGTGTGGTTGTATATATTTGAACATGACTTTGCAGTCAAGTTATGTGTTCTTTCCGCCTTAATTATATTATGTTTTTTCAGATATGAAATGCCAATAGAAATTTATGGGAGGGTTTAGTATAATGATTTATACAATTTGTAGCGGTATCATTTGATTACATGGTCATTAAAATTTCTGGGATATTTTACATTTATGGATTGATGATCATGCAGATGTTGCATACATGTTGAAAGTTATTCCCTACTGGAAATTCTTTCTTTTTTGTTTAAAAAGAAGTTTTTAACTAGCCCTTGATTGTTATTTGTTATGTATAATGAGGGTGAACCTTGGAGTAGCAGTAAGATTGCTCCTTATGACCGGAAGGTCACAGGTTTGAGTCAGAAAAATAATCTTTTTGCAATGGTAAGGCTATGTGCAATTGACCCTCATCTCTATCCTCACAAGTCAGGGAGCCTTGTGCATTGGGGTTTGCCCTTGATTGTTATTTCTAATATACCTTTTGATATATCTGCTCTTAAAGTCCCTTGACAAATCATAGAGAACAAAACCATGTGTTGTGCTTGCCCATTGTATGTGATTGATGGTCGCATATAATTTGCTGAAGAAACACATTATTATAGATCTTTTTCCTTCAACTAATACAACCTCATTTGCAGGCTGGTTTCTCGCTGCCAGATATTTTATCTGTAAATTGTACATCCCTTGCCAATACATCTGATATTTTCACTAAGGTAGGAATGTGAAAACACATTTTATCTAAGTTAACACTACTAAGTTGTCTGACCACCTGGTTGTTCTAGCAGATACTTGGGTTAAACCAAGGACGGGGAAAAAAGGTTTCAGCCACACCCTTACAACAACTTCAGAACATATATTCTCAGAAATCATCTATCAAGAACATGATGTAAGAAACATATCCTTGCCCTGAACTTTGACACACGCTAGATTTACTTTTTAAAAATAATAATAAAATTAAGTCTAGTCTGACAGGCATATATGATTTTCTACTGCTGCTTGTTTCTGTAATTTGGATGTTATTGAAGACTGTGTCTCTGTTGTAACAGATTGATAGTAGCTGATGAATTAGATTACCTAATAACCAAAGACAGAGCTGTGCTCCATGATCTTTTCATGCTTACTACCTTCCCATTTTCCAGATGTATATTAGTAGGTAAATTTTCATAAAAATAAAATTGTTGTTTCTGACTTTGTTATTTTTCTTAAGTTCTTAACTAGTAATGCAGTTTAGGTATGTACCAAAAAAAAACAAAAAAAGTAATACAGTTTAGGCATTTCAGGACTTATTGTGCTTATTTATACAGGTGTAGCAAATGCAATTGACCTAGCTGATCGATTTCTTCCGAGGCTTACATCATTAAATTGTGAGTAAATAATTCAATATGTTTATGTAAAGAATTTCCATTTCATTTTCTTGGATATCGTGTCTCAATGACCTCGGTTAATGAAGCTAGCCTTCTACTTGGGTACATTGGATGTTATTATTATTTTATTTTATTTTGTCTTTTTTTCTTTTTTAATTTCTTCCCTTTGTTCTGTTCCAGGCAAGCCTATTGTTGTAACTTTTAGGGCATACTCTAAAGATCAGATCCTTAGGATTCTCGAAGAAAGGCTAAATGTAAGATTTTTGTTATTGAACTTGTTTCAGTTATTGGGTTGTGCCACTTTCACCTTGAATCATGTCTATTGGAAGAAAATTATCAGTGTGATGCTTTGTTAAAAAGTTTGCTTCTTTATGACTCGGGTGAAGGAAAAAAATAAAATTGAACCAAAAGTTACATTTCTCCTGGTTGAATATTATTTATTAATAGCTCTTTGTCTCACCATCAGGAACTTCCTTACACTGTCTTCCGACATCAAGCACTGGAACTATGTGCTAGGGTAGGTCCACTTGTGATTTGTCCAGATAAGTTTATATTTACTGTTATCTTTTATAGTCTTTGCCAAGGATCTTGCCTCAAATAAAAACTAATTAATTCTCTTGCTAATGAAGAATTTTGAAACTTAGAGCATTTACAGTGTCATTATTATTTATTATTATTGACTTGACTTATTATTATAAAGACTACTAACTATCCAAATGAAGAGGAGACAACCCGCTCTTGAACTTAAGACTATCTATGTGCGTCGCGTGCTCGATCTAGCAATTGTTTTGATGAACTCTCATTCAAAAAGAAAGAAGAGAAAGAAATGGGAGTTGGCGCCTAGATAACAGGTTGCTTGCTTACCAAGCCATCTTTGCTTTTCGCTCCTCCAGTTCGATTATTATTTATTATTATTGACTTGACTTATTATTATAAAAACTACTAACTATGCAAATGAAAGACGATTTATTATCTACCCAAGAAGATAGAGTCCCACATACGAGAAAAGGTCACAAATAGAGTTGAACCAAGTAACATTGCAAAGGCATAATGATAGTAGGGTCGGGATATCCGAACCGGACGTGAAGGTCTCCCCTCATCCGGCTCTCTGCAGGGGAATCTCCACTCACTGCTTCCCCTAATATCCTCCCTTTACCACATCATGGGGGTTTACAGGAGATCCCAGAGGCTCGCTCGGAAAGGCTGCTATCCCATACCTTTTGACTCAACTCTACTCTAGTAGTCACTGGACTCACTATAGTAGTACTACACCCGACTGCTCTTGCTGAAATCATTACTCTTCATTCTCCCGTGCTCTAGCAATTGCGCTCCCTAGACCACTACCATGTAGTTAGGTAGAGACAATCAATCCGTAGTGACGGGAATCTGGGGATCCCTATCCATATCAAAAATGAAGAATCTATCTATAGAGAAGCTACCTTTCTCTCACTCAATAGATGTATCTGGTTTGGTACGGTACAGTACAATACGAGACGATGGAATGCAATGGGATGGATGGTAGAGGGCTGCCTGTGCCCAAAAGCGATGATTCACTTGTCCCCTTGTCCATAGGGACCTCGTGCCATACAATCGAAACGACTCCTGCTATATAGCCGCCCCTATCTCTCTTTTTACAGCCTCGTGGACGGACTAAAGAAGGGAAGTTACATAACGGGGCAATGAAGGCTCGAGAAGTAGACAACAAGCTTTTCTCAGCCCCCTAACCTTTCTATTCTTATTAAAGCGCTAGCTTTACTCCTCTCCTTCTTACAGTCGAGCGAGCAGCTTCACCCCTATCTCTAATCGAAAGGGGCGTAAGCACTTCACTCCCTAGGGGATGAGATTCATTCACTTGCATTCCTGCTAGCACTACAAAAAGCTCCGGTCTTAACGCCCCTACTGCTGTGCAGCCTTTCCTCGGGTTCGTAGAGTCGGGTTTCCCGTTTACCCACAACGGAGGAGCCGCCCCCACCAGACCAGGCAGGCGGCCACGGGTCATAACGCACTCTTCGCACAACAAATCCACTTTGAAGTTGACTTATCCGCTCGACCAATCGTCGAATTTAGGTGGTTTTTTTTTATGCAAGACGAGTGAAATGGGAAAAGAAAAGTGGAGGTTGACCTGCTTTGTGACAGATGTGGAATGGAGCTTGAATCTACCATTCATGTTTTAAAGGGCTGCCCCCGGGCATCTGGCATTTGGCTACTCTGCCCATTAGCCCTTCATACTCAACAGATGCAGGCTCTCAACTTCTCAGATTGGGTGAAGGAGATGAGGAAGTGTCTTGATGAAGAGCAGCTGGAACTTGTGCTAGTAGTTGCATGGGCTTTATGGAGTAATATAAATTTGCTGCTGTTTCAGGACATACAGAACTATCCTGTGGATGTGGTGAACAAAGCAATCAGCTTCTTTGAAGAGTATAAGAAGGATAAGCTAAAAATGGTGCAAACACCTATTGGCAGGCCCCACCCCATGCATGGTGTTTATAAGATGAATACTGATGCTGCAATTTTAAACCAGCAAGGGATTGGCTACTTGCTTCATCCTGCCCTTCCTTCCTTCACCTGTCCCACGTGCTCTTTGATGCCGATAATACTATGTTATTAGTGACCATGAACACACTGCTTGAGACCCTTCTTTCTTGTGAATGGGTACAAAAGAAAGCTATTTTTCGCATCACTCCTTCCTTGGATTAGTAAACTACTATCGAAAATTCGTGGAGGGTTCTTCAAGGGCCTGACCGATAGGAATCAAGGATGAGTCTCTACATCTATCTTCTATCTGTTAATTTAGGATTCAAAAGGCTTCAGGAAGACAATGAGATCTCAGACTTTCCTGAAAGCTTAGTAAGGGAGTCCTAAGTCAAATAGCCTTATTCAATTCAATGATTTTTGAGTGAGTACCCGAAAGAAAGAATGGACAACCCACATGGTCACTCTTTCCTTAAAGACTCATGTTATCGTTCACGCTTCCCGGCCAGGTATTCCATACCTAAAAGGCAGCTACATGTCTACTATTTATTCATACTTTAGAAATGAAGGACTCTCTCTATCCGGAGTTACTCAACCAGACCCAGACCTTACTCATACTTACTTCCCGGTACTCAAATCCGCTATTTCTCAACCGGACTCAAAGGCTGTGGATAGAAAGGGGTCTAACCATTTCAAAGTGCTAGTACTCGAGGAATGGCAAAAGATTGCAAAGACTCGATAACAGAAAGGGCATTGGCATCGGGGCTAGAAAGCAAGCAAGTAGGTAGAAACGCAAGCAAGAGGTGCGTGCCCAGCGTTAACAAGCTCATGAATTTAACTTTGGCTTTTGAAGTATTACCAAATTTTACCTCTGCCACTCCGATCCTTAAGAGAGATTGGGATAGAATGCTACAACAGGCTCTAAAGTAATACTCTTTGTAAAAGTCGTATTCAAATATACTGTTGATTGGTTGCGTAATTGAAAAATAATGCAAGGCTGTGCTTCCTTTTATATTTTTTTTGCCTCATTCTTCTTCATTCCACAAAGTGAAGTTAGATGAAATGAGAAAAAGGAAAAATGCATTAAATTCCAAAGTAGTCTTTTCAAGATTGGTTTCAATAAATAAACTAATGATAAGAGGAGCATAAGAAAAAGATATTATAGTCCATCTTGAAATCAATATATATATATATATGTAGAGCCTGACTGGCAGTGCACATTGCAGAAAGTTGCTGCAGCTTCTGGAGATATGCGGAATGCTCTTTGTATATGCAGGTCAGTCATTTTATCATTGTTATTATTATTAACTGTTTATTGGTTTAACACCCATGATAAACAATGCATCCAAATTTTGTTTACTATATTTGAAATGCACTCTATCGATATTGATTGAAATATTTTCAAGCTTAAACAACTTCACTTCTTATGTTCAATGTTCCTGATGCCAAAAAAGGCCTTGGATCATTCCCTTCCCTTTGAAGTTCTGAAGGGCAGGTGTGGTCTTGGATTTTGGTATTCATGTCTGCTTATTTGTCTCAAGTTATCATACAAAAAAAATGAAATAGAACTTCATTACATGCAGAACTCATCCTTAGTTTTGGTTGAGCTTAAACTATAACAATATTTGAACTTGAACTTGGAACATATTAGGCATCTTCCAGGAGAAGATATGATTACTGACTCAAGATTTGCTCTGGCAATTAAGCCAGAGCAAAATCCAGAAGAAAATCATTTTACTTTTTTAATAGTTTATTTTCTTTCCAGGAGTGCAATAGAGATGCTAGAAGCAGAAATTAGAGAATCTGCCTGCAATTTGAATACTTCATTGGAAGAGAAGTCATCCTCCCAGCAAAGTCTTGCTACAGCTCCTGATTTTATGAAAAAACAAGAATTTGATATTGTAAGTGCTCAACAATTTGTTTCAAATTTGCTGTGCTTCCCCACGAATGGATTAAAAATAGTGTTACGCTAAAGCCAAGTTGAGAACAGTTTAAGAAAGGATTACGTAAAATGAGTACAAATTTGCATTTATCATGCATCTCTTTTGATTCATTGTTAATGGGATTGAATACACTTCTTCAAGATTTATGTTCTAGGTTTCAAATTCATCTGGCTACTTTAGAAGACATTTTAATGTAATTTACAATTTATTGTAGTAGAATTAGATGCATCAGTTTTAGTCTGATTGACTTATTAGTCGTACAAAATATAGGCAACTTAATTCTATAATAGCATCCTATATAGTTAATTTTGTAGGTGTTTTGAACTGTTTTCTTTCATCACAGCCTGCATTATTATTGAGTTGGAAACATCTAAGTACCAGCACACAACAAATGTAAATTTACTAAACAAATATAGTTCCTCTGTCATCCACTCTTTCTCCTTTTATTGCTAAAGGCCTAAGTCCCTCATATGAAATTGTAGGTAAGGGTTGATCATATGGCTCTTGCCTTGTCAAAGACATATAGATCACCGGTGGTGGATACAATACAATCTCTGCCACATCATCAACAGGTAACCTTGAACTATGAATATGCTATATAAACTGTTGTGAGCTAAGGGACTCATTACTGGAAGTAACACAATCTGTCATCTATGCCAGATACTATCCTAGTCATGAAGATATGTAAGGCAGTTAGATGTTAGAGATGTATGAGGGAGATAAGTGTATATAAGGGACGTAACCCCTATTATAGTCACTTATGGAGAATTAGTTTTTGAGTAAGATTTTTTTTTTAGTGTGAAGGGAGAATTCCATTGTGAAGAGCATAGCTCTAGTATTCTTTATTTGTAATCAATAAAGGTACTCTTTTCTTCCTATTATCTTAATCTCTCCATCAATCCTAAACCCAGAGCCGTAATAGTAAGCTTGAAAAGAAGATAGAAATAGAGATCTAAATTGATTAACCATGTGAACTGTGATCTCATTGGTAGGTGAAGAAACATTTGTTACAACTTCATACGATATTAAGGGTAGCTAGTTATTAATAACTTGTTTAATAGAATACTCAAACTAGACATGTAACCAACTTTTTTGCTTGGTTAACAGAATACTGAAACTAACCAAACCCAATTTAGTAGCAACTTTTTTACTAGGTACTGACTGTTGTTTATAACTTTTTTCTGGATTTGTACTTTTTGCAGATTATACTTTGCTCTTTGGTGAAGCAATTCCGTGGAGCCAAGAAAGATGCAATCCTTGGGGAGGTATACTTTGCAGCTCTTTATATGGATGATATAAGGGTTTGACCCATTCTAACCTATATATTGATTTCTAAAACTGTAATCATGATGCAGTTGTATAAGTCTTATATGGAGATATGCAAATCATCACTCATTCCCCCGGCAGGGATCCTAGAGTTTTCAAACATGTGCAGAGTGCTGAGTGGTCAGGTATCTGAAACAATGCTCGATTTATGAATTTCTAGATGTGGCTTTCTCTGTCAGTGGATGAATTTTCATATTAAGGAGTGCTTTATCAACGAGGGGATGTGATCATAGGTAAATGATGAAATATAACTGCAGGGGCTGATTAAACTAGGACAATCCCGAGAGGATAAATTGAAAAGAGTGACACCCAAAGTAGATGAGGGTGATATTACTTTTGCATTGCAGGTAGTCTCTTAGTCCCTTGAAACCTCGTATCTTCATATTTTGATTATCTCTTAATTTACTTTGTTTGGATTGGTATCTCATCTGAAAAATAATTTCTTTGCCATAATTAAATTCCATGACACAGGGAATCCGTTTTTTTCAAAACTGTCTTAAATGTTTCTGCTGATAGACTGGTGGTTTTCATTCAGCTTGATGTGAGACTGTAGATTCTTCCATAGATTAAGGTTGGAAGCTTTTGCTTGTACATCCCCCCCCCTCCGTCCCTCTCTCTTCGTTTCTCTCCTTTTTTCTTCGGATTTATATGTAACTTGCTTTTAGATGTATCTTTGGCCTTCTTTTCAATGCCTCTCACTGCACATTTTTTGCCAAACTTCTAATACTTGGTTTCTTGGTGCATATGCAGGTTAGTTCATTTGGGTCAGACTGTTGTCCTCATTGTATGAAGTGGATATACTCGATGAAACATACAGTAGCAGAATTTTCAGCTACGGAGGATTTTTTTTTTTTTTTTTCAAGAACGAATAATAGCAATAGAAGAAAGCATTGCAAATAATATAATATTGATATTGTAGAAATTCTTAAACTTCATCAATTTGGGATAAAGAGCGATTTGTAATTGTATTTTAGGATTTTGACTCAATTAAATCATTATATTTATTTTTGGATTTAATATTTATTGGTAATATAATCATTCAAAGTGTTTTCATATTTTTTTTGGTAAACAAGTGTTTTCATATTTATTGGTTCATCAATTTTATCATTTATAATTAATTTTAGGATTTCATTAATTTTCATTAGAAAATAAATAATTTTTATCAAATGTTTTTTAAATAAATTTATTTAAAAAAATGAAAAGATTTCATGTTTTAATCAACTTTTTATGTTTTCTCTATAAATTCCGTAATACTCCTTTTTCTCATGTTTATTAACCTTATGTCACATTTTTATTAACCGAAATACTCCTTTATTAATCTTTATACAAATTAGTGTCCCACTCAAATAAACAGACTTGTAACTTTGTAGCAATGGTAAAGGAGTTATTCAAATTAGTGCGAGAAGAAGTAACAACTAGTTTTGATTAATATCTCAACCATCGATTTTAAATTTTGAAAAGATGAAATGGAGACTTATAACTTCGTAGCAATGGTAAAGAGTAATGGTTTCTACTTTCGTCCTTTATAAGTTAACTTTTAGTTTCTCTATAATTTCAGTTTTTGAAAAATATAATTTCTCATAAATTCAACGAAGATGAAAAGATGTCATGTTTTAATCAACTTTTTATGTTTTCTCTATAAATTCTGTTATACTCCTTTTTTCTCATGTTTATTAACCTTATGTCACATTTTTATTAACTGAAATACTCCTTTATTAATCTTTATACAAATTAGTGTCTCTCTCAAATAAACAGACTTGTAACTTCGTAGCAATGGTAAAGGAGTTATTCAAATTAGTGTGAGAAGAAGTAACAACTAGTTTTGATTAATATCCCAACCATCGATTTTAAATTTTGAAAAGATGAAATGGAGACTTATAACTTCGTAGCAATGGTAAAGAGTAATCGTTTCTACTTTTGTCCTTTATAAGTTAACTTTTAGTTTCTCTGTAATTTCTGTTCTCTGAAAATATAATCCCTTATAAATTCAATGAAGATCCAATTTAGTACCTCAAAAAGGAATAATATGAGTATTTTTTTTTGTAAGGGACAAAAGTGAAAACTGTGTTTTTTGTTAGGGACCCAAAATGGGCTTTACTCTTTAATAAAAATGAAAATATTAATAATATTTTAACTAAGAAAAAGTATTTTGAATCCTTTAAGCAGTGTTTTAAAATCTCGTCCCGTCCCATGGTCAACCCTGTCGGGTCACTAACCTTCTCTCTCTTAGGGTTGGGGTCAGCAGTTAGACCCTGCATGCACGTTGACCCCTCTGATCTCCGAAACTTCCCTGTTGAACTCGTGACTCCCAGGTCAGAGGGGTAACTACATTTTTTTTTTAAAAAAAATTACACACGAAAAATGTCGTTTGATGTGTAACAAACAAAAAACAAAACAAAAACTCATTGCTACCTAGATATAGAACTAGATCTGAAATGTCAATCGTTCTTTTTCTTCTTCTTTTTTTATCTTCTTTCCCAAACCAAGTTTCCCTGATCCGACGAGGATGATCGAAAAAGTAATTTGTTGTTACATATTGTTTTTAGTCACATACGTGCTTTTTATTCTGTTCCTTATTCAAATAGCATTGCTGATATACAGGCAAGCAATATCATTAGATGATGATTTACTATCTAGGAAATCCTCTAAAGATGACCCGATGGTTTACTGGGAGAGGATTATTGAAACCCTCAATGTGCTCCTCAATACACTAAAAGAGAACTTTGTAAGAAGTGAAATTTCAATTTATGAACTACCAAATATTAAGCAATTATCTCCATGTTAGACTTGTTCATGTGATTTCTGAAAATTGCTTAAACATGATATATTCTTTTGGATTTCAGGTGCCTCCTATTTTAATCCAAAAGATCTTCAGACAAACATTCTCAATCATTAATATGAACCTTTTCAATTCGTAAGTAGTTTTTTTCATACATGCTTTTTTATTTTGGATAATAAGGAAAGTAAACGGTACAAAGATTTAACTACGGACTAGTCTGGGGATATCAACCCCCATGGAGTCCCTTCTAATGATGTCCCTACAGCCCTGAGGAGGGTCAACAAAAATATGAGTCTCTGAATCATTTGGATTAGCATAGTTAGCCAAACAATCAGCAACTTGATTCCCCTCTCTGAAAGTATGCGCAACCACAATTCTCCATGGTCTGTTCATGAAATCTTGTATCCTTCTAACCATATTGTGAAAGGGTTTATGAGGCTCACACCCTTTCTTCAGCAACTCTGTCATCGTTAAAGGGTTATCTGCATACTCCATATTGTTGACGAAAGATAAGACCCGATAAATAAGATTTGGAGGCTATAAACTATTACCCTCAAAGTCTAACCAAATCATCCAACAAGTGATGCCAAAAACTAGAGTCCAATATTGGTTGGAGCCCTAAGGAGTCCTCTGCTTTATGTTAGAGCTTAGCCAGTCATATAAGCCCATATTGAAGTAAGGATTACTCCTTATATCAACAAGACTTTCCCAAATATCTCTGGCCCACGAGCATTCTCTGAAGAGGTGGATAATATCTTCCCTCAGATAAAATCTGAAGAGTTTTATGATTAGGTTTGATAATACAGGATAAATCCAGTAAAGCTAAAGGATTGAGGGAATCTGCTTTTACTTTTAGATCTAGCCTAATGCTTATACTCATACTAAGTAATTACAGTTGTCTTTCTCATACAAAGTGCCTGTAGTATCGCTTATATAAAGAAAATCATGCTTAAACAAATTAACGTGAGACGTAAATGGATGTTATTTTTATAAGCAGGTTATTTATAGTAAGGATGGTCTTTCCTATGAGAAGATCGCTAATGAGTGCCCTATAAGTATTTATCCATCTCAAGCTCCGTGTGTGTGTTAGGCCTCATACAGTTACTAGGATTTCTATGGTCGCTTTCACCTGGGTAGCTAAGTGGGATAAGTGGAACTTCCTACATAATGATCACACCCCAATCTTAAAGAGTAGGCCAGTATCAATTGAGCTGCAGCTCATGACTTAAGGATTCATATGTTTTAGCAAGTAGCTGTTGACTTGGTTGTCCAAATTGTTAATGTCATTAACTTAGGGGGTGCATGAGGGTACTGCTAGGACTGAAATTCAGATGCTGCATATAATCCACAGGGATGAAATAGAAGAAGATTAAGGGTATTGATATATGCATGGTCACGAAATCATTGTCTCTTTCTCACACTACATCCCAATATCTTTTACAGTCTATATGTTTCTTCTCTCATGTCCTTTTCCCTTCTATTTTTCTCCCTCCATCTTCTGGTTCTGCTTCTCCAGATCCTGAGTGTCCAGCAGCTGTATAGGATATCTAGTCAATACAATGATAGCTACCACCGTAATCCTCCAAAAGTATCTCCAGATGTAAGTTTGTGTCTATATTTTCTCCAATAAAAGCAAAAGGCATCATGAAATATTACTATGCTTCATTAATTCACTAAAATCTTCCTTCAGGTCCTTTCACAAATGACGATGCTTTTGCCTGAGGACCGTAGTATTGGTCAGAGCCTTTTGGATGATCACAGTTACAGGTGAGGGTGCTTGTATATGTATATTTAGGTGGTGCTTTAGTGTTGTAAATAATAGAATTATTTTATTATTATTTTGTAATAGAATACTCTATCAGTGTATTTGGGCTTAGCCTATTAGGTTTTTTTAATCTCTTTAAATAGAGAACTCTTGTACAAATATGATACAATCCAATAATATACAAATCTTCTTTTCTAGTTGGTATCAGAGCTCTCGATTCTGAGGGCTCTGCTTCTGCAAATCATCGCTTTTAAAAAACCAAACCCTATTTGCCTCTCGTCGCCACAAAGCCGCCGCTGGAAAAAAAATTTCCGGGGACCTTTTGGACCGTGAGGACCCCGTTTCACTCCATTTTCTCAGATTTATCATTCTACGGAGGTTTCTTTTTCAGACGACCGGAATAGATCAAAAAAAAAATTGTTCACGATAATGTTCATCGCTACTGTTCATCGCTATTGTTCACCGGTACTGTTCATCGCTACTGTTTACGGTGTTGTTCATCGCTACTGTTCACCGGTACTGTTCACGCGTTATTCATCGGGAATGTTCACGCGCACTGTTAAAAAAAAAAGAATTTTTTTTCTGATCAACTATGTTTGGTAAGATCACACACCCTACATCTCTTCTTACATCTTGCACTGATTTCAAAAATTCATGGATTATGGATTCTGGTGCAACTGATCATATGACCTGTCTAGCAGATTCTTTTCTTTCATATCACCCTACTAGTGGTATCCATACTATAGCTATAGCTGATGGATCCCAGAAATTAGTTATGGGTTCTGGTAACATTCAAATTCAACCTTCCTTATTTTTAAAGAATGCTCTTATGTTCCTCAGCTCTATACTAATCTTATCTCCACTTATAAGCTTACAATTGACATGAATTGTGCTGTCACTTATTTCCTACCCATTGTGTTATTTAGGATATCACCACGGGGAAGACGGTTGGAGTTGCTAAGGAGCAACGTGGGTTGTACTATCTCATTCCAGAGTATGCTGCTACAAGGGATACCGGGAATCAATTATTGATGAGTCATCACCCGTCTACTTCATTCTCACAGATTTGGCTTCATCACAAATGCCTGGGGCACCCGTCATTTGGCTTATTAAAGTCAATGTTTCCTTCTTTGTTTAATGATCAGGAAATTGACTCTTTCTATTGTGATGTTTGTGAGCTTGCGAAACACCACCGCGTGCCCTTTCCTTCAAGTTCAATAAAGAGCATTGAGCCTTTTACTCTTATCCATTCAGATGTTTGGGGCCCTTCTAAAGTACATAATATTTCAGGTGCTAGGTGGTTTATTTTTTATTGATGATTGCACTCGGGTGACATGGATATTCTTGATGAAAGACAAGTCAGAAGTACCAGAATTGTTTATTCGATTTTATCAAATGATTGA